ATCAACTTATAGATTAGATAAAGAAAACATTTAGTGTGATATTTCTGAAGAATCCTAACTGTTAATTGAACCCAACGTCTTAGAATCTATCGTTCCCATATATTTTCTCACGTGTTTTTGCTAGTTCTTTATTTTTGCTTTATTTCCTTTGATTATAATCTCTTAGTTATTTAATCCATCTCATTTTCGTTAGAAATCAATAAATCGACATGTTAGAATGGTATGACCTCAGAAAATGGAGGAAGTCAAGAGAGCCCTTTTCTCCATCAATCCAAACAAAGCTCATGGCCTTGACGGTATGACCTCTCTCTTCTTTCAAAATTTTTGGGATATCATTCATATTTATTTATATGCTGCTATGCTTAGTTTTTTCGAGTCAGGTCAAATCCTCGAAAGTTTAAATCACTCTCTGATCACTCTTATTCCTAAGATTCCATCACCTGAGAGAATATCTCACTTTAGACCTATAAGTCTTTGTGGTATCCCTTATAAAATTATCTCTAAAATTCTGGCCACTAGACTCCAGCCTTGCTTGCCTAATTGCATTTCTGAAAGTCAAGCTGCATTTGTGAAGGATAAGCAAATTTTAGACAATGTTATAGGTGCTCAAGAAGCTGTTCACTTTCTTAATAAACTCAGGAAAGGCAAAACTTGCTATATGGCCATTAAATTGGACATGTCCAAAGCCTTTGATAGGGTGGAGTGGGCTGGTGTTCATTATACCTTGATTAGATTGGGTTTTCATCATTCCTTTGTTAAATGGATCACTGTCTGCATTTCATCCTCTACTTTCTCTTTTAACCTTAATGGTAAGCTTCATGGTTTGTGAGACCTTCTAGAGGAATCATACAAGGAAACCCACTGTCCCCCTATATATTCATTCTAATATCTGAGATTCTCTCTCAGCTCATTAAATCTGAGTGCCATTTAGGTCACTTTAAAGGCCTTAAGCTCTGCAAAAATGGTCCTACCTTAACCCATCTCTTCTTTGCTGATGACACACTCCTCTTTACCCAAGCAGATGCTATCCAAGCTCACATTATTCTCAACATTCTTGATAAATATGGACAGTGCTCTGGGCAGAAAATCAACCTTCAGAAATCATCCATGTTTTTCAGCAAAAATACCCCTCCTCACATTAAAAATCAAATATGTGGCATCCTTCATGGGATTTATTGTCATAATTCTATGAGATACTTGGGCCTCCCACTTGGTATTGGTCAGTCTAAAGTCCAAACATTTCAATTTATTCAGGAAAATGTGAGTAATAAGATTGCTTCTTGGAAGAACAAATTTCTATCTCTGGCAGAGAGAGATTTTGCTGAAATTTGTGCTCTCAGCCCTTCCACTTTATGCAATGTCATGTTTTTTGTTGCCTAAGACCAGTGTTAGCCTAAACGCTAAACGGTAAACAGTCGGCGAGGGCACGTGTAGTGTTTAGACGGTGTACACGGCGTGTACACGTTTAAACGGATTACACGTTTTTAACTACATTAGTATTAATATTATGACTTATGAGTCAATGACATAGCCATAGCCCATACGCAAATTGCAGATAACATCACAACAGTCAACATCACAGGTGTTCATCTTACAACACAACAGTTAGTAACACACTGCACGCATATATAGTTCTCACAAAACGGATCAATTTTTTGTTCTCCCGCCCAACCGCTTCTATTTCCAAAACGGACCGTGTAAACGGCCTAAACGGCCGTTTAGGCCGTTTAATACCGTTTAATATCGTCCCGTTTACACATTTTACACGGTTTTTTTCCGTCTACACGGCTAGCCCGTTTAATTACCGTTTATCCGCTAAACTGCACACCATAGCGCCGTTTACCGTTTAAACAGCGTGTAAACGGTCTAAACGGCCGTTTAGGCGAACACTGCCTAAGACTATTTGCACCAAGATCTCTCATAGCTTGGCAAGTTTCTGGTGGAAGAAGAAAACTGATCAGAGTATAGCCATACACTGGAAATCTTGGAATTACCTTACTCTTCCTAAAGGTAATGGAGGCTTAGGCTTCAGAGACATGCTTCTATTCAATAGAGCATTGATTGCCAAGCAACTTTGGAGGATCCTCACAAGACCCAACCTTCTTTTAAGCAAGATTCTTAAAGCCAGATACTTCCCTTATGAGAGTTTGTTCACTGCCAAGAAGAAAATCTCTGGTTCCTGGCTTTGGAATAGCTGGATTGCAGTAAAAGACTCTTTGAAGGAAGGACCTAGATATGAGATCAAGGATGGCAAATCAGTGAAGATTTGGGAGTTTCCTTGGATACCAACTCTGCCTGGGTTTAAACTATCCTCAGCTCTCTCTGCACTAAATGAGCATCTCATTTGGGTAAGAGAGTTGATGGATCAATCTGGTAGACATTGGAATTCCCAACTGATCTTAGAGCTTTTCAACTTGTCTGAAGCTCAAGCTATACTCAATATCAAAGGGCTTAATCCATCTCAGCCTGATAGGCTTGTGTGGGATAGTGGAACTAATGGTGCTTTTTCTATCTCAGCCACATACTCTAAACTTATTGCTGAAAAATGGAGGATATTGGATTTTGCAGAAAGCAGCAAAGGGCAGTCAATTCAAAAAGCAACAAGAAACAGAAGTTGGGGGCTTAAAGTTAAAGCCAAATTAAAGCATTTTATCTGGAGGTGCTTTATAAATACATTGCCAGTTAACTGCAATCTAATAAAAAAGGGCATGGAGGTGGACTGTCTTTGAAGAAGTTGTGGTGAGCAGCCTGAAACAATTGAGCACATGGTCTTTGACTGTCCCAGAGCAAAAAGAATCTGGAAGATTTCACAGGTATCTTGGGATGGACTGAGTACACACACAGACAGCTTCAAGGGTTGGTGGTCTAGTGTTTGTAGTATCAACAAGACTGCAACATCAGAAGAAAGAATTCAACTTTCTACCTATATTCTTTGGTGGTTTTGGAAAGCTCGTAACCTGTGGATGTTTAAAAACACTTGGATGGATGATAAATCACTGGTGGAACAAGTAGGAATGATTGGAGAGATTTTGCCAGGATTTGATTTGTTTGGCTATTATTAGTATTTTTGGGGTGAGTTTGCTTTAGTTAGTTTTGGTTTAGCGTTATGGTTGTCTGTTTGTTTATATTAGCTTTTGATGGAAGCTCCACTAGGCCTTTTGTGCAGTGGTGGGTCTTCTTTTTGTGGAGGTTAGAGTTTTGGTTAGCTATTGCAGGCAATGAGAGGATATTGCCATTAGCTAGCACAAAACTCTACATTGTAGGGTTGCTTCTTGTATTTTGCCTTTTGGTATTTGTATTGCCTGGTATGGCCTTCTTCATAGACCAGTTGGTTTTCGATTGGTAGACATTGTATTCTTTGGTTGTGAGTTATATAACATCTATCGTTTCGAAAAAAAATGAATTTCTTTGATTTGGCGTGTAGTAATGTTGATCAATTTATTTTTATGAAATTATTATAATTTTAATTAGTTAAATAGTTGTATTTTTCTAAGTTTACAAAATTCAACATTTTAGAAAAATATTCATAGCAAATATTTCCTTTTCCGTCTACCATTCAACTAACACTAATATAAGTAAAAAAATACATTTTACAATAAAAATAAATTAAGTTCAATTACAAAATAAATTTTAATTGTCAAATTTAGTAATTAATATATATTATTTTTTTTTCATTAAAACAAGATTAGACATTGTATTTTTATTTTATATCTATCTATAGTATTATATTTATCTCGTTTCTTATAAATTTTTTATTTTATATTCTATCTATAATCTTGTAAGAAAAATATAATTTATAATCTTACAAATTTTTTGTTCTTCTCGTTTTAAAATACTCGATATCTATCTATGTCATTTATAGTTTTGGTTCGTTTACAACAAATAAAATTCTCAACTAATTTATGAAGAAGTAAATAATGTGTGGACTTATGAAGAAGTTATTTTGTAAAAGTTTATAGTTTAGGCTAAATTAATTTACTAATAATTAGGGCTAAGTTAACAAATAAAAAAATATCAAATCAACATAAAAATTATAGCATATTACTGATTAAATGGGTAAATTGACAAAAAAAACTATAACATTAATCAACATAAAAATTAAGGGAGATGCTACAGTCTGTTACAGAACCATTCTTTCGAGGTTTGTAACTGTTAAATTATTATGTAACTATTGGAGATAGTCGATATAAAAGTTAAAACTGGGACTAGGGATGGCAATGGGCCCCCGAAACCCGAAACCCGATGGGTAAAAACTCCATTAAGAGCCGGGTATGGCTAAAATTTGGCCCCATGGATCTGTTAATGGGGGAAAAAGTCCCCCCATCGGGTCTAGCGGGGATGGGTCCGTTCCCTCTCCCCCCATACCCGTTAACCCATGGGTATAATGTACCCGATATAATTTGGCCCATTATATGTTTTGGCCCAGCCCAAAAGACTCAGCAGACAGCAGCACTACTAATCCCTAGATATATAACTAATAAGAGGCAATCTCAATTCTCATCCTCTTGCTCTCCCAGTCCCACGCCCCCGCCCACCACACACACTCGCAGACTCCACTCCAGGCCGACAGCTCCTGCGTGTGACCGGCGGCTCCACCGCTCCACCAAGATTGCATCTTGCTGGTTCCGCTTCCGCGGCCGTGCCGGCGCCGTCGAGTGAAATCGGGTCTGTGTCACCCGATGGGTACCCATCACCCACACGAGTGCCGGGTCTGGGGGAAATCTGGACCCGAGACGGGTGATGGGGGCGGGTGACGGGGGTATTTTCCCTAATGGGGACGGGTGACGGGGGGTCCCCAGCGGATTTGTCACCCATTGCCATCCCTAACTGGGACGGGACCATAACATTTCCAAAAAATGAGAGAATAAGATTGATAAGTTGAAACTTAATCAAAACTCAGTTTTTCCCTTATATAATTCATTTCTGCAACTCCTCATAATTTTTCCCGGCGACCTCAAACCCGGCAAGAACCGCCATGCTCCAATTTGCTTCCATCCACTATGCATTTTAGGCTAAGATTTTTTCTTGCACGCGCCGCCAGGAAATCAATCGCTATTTCGCCCACTTCAGTTTCGCCGAGTCCAAGAGCTGCACTTACCGGCGGCTATACTACCGTAGCTAACGTTGTCGGAAAATCTCTAAATTCCCGTTGGTTTGAGCAGCAAATCTTACCTTTTTACTCCGTTTTGGTTGGACGTGAGTTCTCCAGCTATGCCGTCGAGCAGTTCTCCGACGATGAATACGAATGCGATTACGAAAATCATCCAGTAATCGATTATTCTTGACATTTGTTTTTCATTTTTGTTGAAATCTGATTGCTCAGCATATGTTCGACAAAAGGCCCGAGTGTGATTTATGTTGCGATAGAGGAATTGGATTGTTTATTTGCTTAGAAGTTATGACATGGTTTGAAAATTGTTCTGTGACAGTAGCAAATGTGTCACTGAAAGAAAAATGCTATCTTTTCATGTCGAACTTTGGGGGATTTGTGTTTATATGAAATTGACTGGTTCATTGAGTAGTTTGTAGAAGAATACGAAAAAACCCCATAAAAAACATGCTGCGGCCGATGCTTTCTGTTCATTAAAGTCTATCTTTTATTCAGCTTTCAATGCTGTGATCGGCAATTGCGTTCTCATGCAACTTTCAATGCGTCAATGTCATTTTTTCTGCATGTCTTGTACTTGGATTTAGTATTACACGTTACAAAACCAGTTTGTACTTCGAATGTAGGCTTCATCATCCGTGGCGAATATTGATGAGTGGAAATGGAAACTTAGCATGTTGTTACGAAGTGATGAGGATCAAGAAATAGTATCGAAAGATAAAAGGGACAGGAGAGACTTTGAACAAATATCCAGGCTCGCCAAACAAATGGGGCTTTACTGGTATTGAATTGTGCTTCCCATTTTATCCAGATATAATGTTGCTTTTATCGGAAACTCTATTATAATACCATTTATTTCATTCTTTAGTGAACTATATGGAAAAATTGTTGTTGCAAGCAAAGTTCCTCTTCCCAACTACAGACCAGATCTGGATGATAAGCGGCCTCAGAGGGAGGTGAGAAAATAACTTCACGTGATTAATTTGTTTTCGTATTTGTCTTTTTTTGCATGCCAATTCTGAACACCCGTTATCTTAAATTTTATGTCTACTGTGGAATGACTTCGTGTATTTGAACACAGGAATTTATTTTTCTTGATATGTTTCATTTATCATTGTTACACCTAAATATTCCCCGTGTCCTGAAATTAAAGCTCTTGCATTTGGTTCGGTATGTTATTTTCTCCCATCTCCTTCAACGCTTTCTCCAAAGTATCCTCTAGCTTATGGTAATCTTGTAGCTATATCAACAATCTTAATTACTTCCGATGGAAATGTGAAGGTAAAATATCTCCCTTTTCACATTTCTGAGGACCCCCCAGGCCAACTCATTTAAATTTGAACATATTTAATATGGATATTGGACGGAGTGTTTCCTTCTACATTCGTATGAAGTATAAACACTGTCTATTCCCCGTTGCTTGAGTCAAGATGGTCTTTTCTTAAGCACTCTAGTTATTTGCAGTTACTGCCTGTATTGTAAGTTGCTCAGATCTTATTCTATTCCACTACTTAATAATTTTATCACATTCGTTGAACCTTAGTTGATTTAATTTTACGAAAATGTAGAAAAGTGCCTGGAGAAAATTATAGTTTCAGCTGGAATTCTATTTAACTATGCAGAATTGAAATCCTGGTGCTCATATGTTTAGGTTGTGATCCCATTGAGCTTACAAAGAAGGGTGGAGGGTTTGCTCCAGGAGCATCTCGACAGAGCAATTGTGTATTCTGAAAAAGACTGTGATGCTTCAGATGAGACGATAACCAGTAATCACCTCGAAAATGTGGATACTGCTGAGCATGCGGATTCATTCCTTGATGATTCGGTTATGGAGAAAGTTCTGCAGAGGCGGAGCCTGCGCATGCGCAATATGCAGAGAACTTGGCAGGTATAGATTTGATTCACGTGTAGTATTTGTATGTCACATGTGTACCAGAATGGCTGGTGGAAGGTACCTGCTTTGAGTTCTTATGGACCAAAAAAGTCTCAGTATGATTTTGATATTTCGTGCAACACAACGTGCACTGATTATTGGAAATATCTTGAGTGATAAATTTTAGGCATAAATTATGTATTACTTGATTCCAGTCCATTCTATTGTGTGGTTTTACTTTTCTAGCTCCTTTTTGTCGTGTCTAAGAGTAGGCCGTTAGTGTTTGAGAAAAAAGAAAGCCCTTCTTTTACAATTGGCCGTTTAATGCTTTTCTAAATATGAAGGATTCTCTATTATTCATTTGGAGCATAGTGATACAAAGCCCCTAGTTTATATGTACAAGGAGAGATAATCATATCCGTCAATTGGTGGGTACAATTTTACTCACATGTTCTTCTATTTAATTGGTAGGCATCATTGTTTTGGAATTCAGAGCTATTAACTTGATTAGATTTGTTCTAGGAATTGGTTATACCTTGTTTGCGACTTTGCGTATTCATGCGCTGGCATAGGCTCAACTTAGTCCCAGCCCCACCCCCGACTTGGTTTTGTCTTAGTGAAGTACGAAAAGTCGTCAGCGAACTGAAGTGACAATTCTACACTGTTCCTGCCCAATACCGCTTATGGGAGAAAGTGTCTTGGCTTTGTTTGCTAATCTCACTAAAGTGAAGGCTTCCATTTTAAATCTTGAAATTGTTGACCTGTTGACTGAGGTCTAAATTGTCTGGGATTAAGGATTCCCCTCTTATATAGTATATACTATATAGGCAATGGACTTGCCACTCTCATGTTTGCTCATATTGCTATTGGCTCAGCTACCTATTAGAAGGTCTTCAGGTTTCTCAATTACATGGATCCTTACATAACATAAATGGCTACTAACTAACTTGAGCTCTGCTCAACATTGTGGTGTTTGATTTTGATTTGTCAATTTACTTTCCTATTGAAGTTCTGAATTTTATATTTGGAACTTGGGTTATCTGCTAAATAGTAATAGGTTGATCTCAATGCAGGAATCACCAGAAGGTAGGAGGATGATGGAATTCAGGAAGTCTCTCCCTTCATTCCGGGAGAAGGAAAGGCTTCTTCAAGCAATAGCAAGAAATCAGGTTGGGTGTCATAAGTTGTACTATATATGTATGTATGTA